CTTCTCCTTCCCTCTGCCGTGTTTGTAGGAGTACGTAGCCAAATACTGAACAAAAAGCTCCTAAAAAATGAAAGCAAAAATTAGTAGTAGTCATACTAAGAATTCAAACATATCACTGATCCCTAGCTAAAGGCAGAAGCACCGTATTTAACTGCACATATACTCAGTGCAGAGACTCATTAAATTTCAGTACATGAAGAGAGTCTACAGGAAAGATGGAGAGATTATTTACAAGGGCAGGTAGTGACAAGACAAGGGGGAATGGCTCCAAACTGACACAAAGTAGGTTTAGATCAGATATTAGGAAGAAATTCTTCCCTCCGAGGGTGGTGAGGCCCCGGCACAGATTGCCCAGAGAAGGTGTGGCTGCCCCATCCCGGGAAGCTTCCAAGGCCAGGCTGGACGGAGCTTGGAGCAACCAGGGACAGTGGAAGGTGTCCCTGCCCGTGGCAGGGCTTTGGAAAGAGATGTTCTTACAGGTTCCTTCCAACACAAACCATTCTGTGATTCTAGACTCGGGATGCGGGCAGAGAAGGGGAGCGGGAGCCCGGCCCGGGCCGCGGCAGCGCTCCGAGGGCAGAGGCCCCTCAGCCGGGGACGGGAGGCGAGGGGGGCCCGAGGGCAGGGCAGGGCGAGCCGGTACCGTGGCCTTGGCAGTGAGGAACAGCGCGTCCTGGTTGATGCTGGACACCTCCGGGGAGCTCTTCATGATGACACGGATCCGTGACAGGGGCAGCGACACCAGACGGTTCTCGGTGCCGCTCAGCCGCGCCGCCGCCATCTCAGCCCGTCCCAGCGGCAGCGAGGGCACGGCCCGCCGGGAGCTGTAGGCGGCGGCTGCCGGGACTACAGCTCCCTACAGCTCCCTACAGCACCGAGATCTGGACTACAGCTCCCTACAGCACCGGGAGCCGCCCGCACCGGGACTACAGCTCCCTGCAGCTCCCTACAGCACCGAGATCTGGACTACAGCTCCCTACAGCACCGGGAGCCACTCGCAGCACAGGAACTACAGCTCCCTACAGCACTGGGAGCCGCACCGGGAGCCGCCTCCTACCCCGACTACAGCTCCCTGCATCAACCAGGAGCCTCCTGCAGCCGGGACTACAGCTCCCTACATCTCCCTGCAATACAGGGACGCTCACACAGGGACGCTCCCTCTGCAGCACCCCGGCCCCACCGGCGCTCTCCTCCCCGCCGCGGGCAGACAGCGGGCCCGGGGATACCCGGGCGAGCTGAGGCTCCGGCGGCTGCGAGTTCCTTCATAGAATCACAGAATCAAGTTGGCTGGAGAAGATCTCTGAGATGATCGTGTCCAACCTGTGACCGATCACCAGGTGGCTGTAGAGTGATAAGGTCACACCCCTGAGCCCCCTTTATTCCAGGCTAAACAGCCGCAGTTCCCTCAGCTGCTCCTCTTCAGATTTGTGCCCCAGCCCCTTCACCAGCTTTGTGTCCCGTCTCTGGACATGCTCCAGCACCTCAGTGTCCTTCCTACATTGATGGGCCCAGAGCTGGACACAGCACTTGAGGTGTGGCTGCCCCAGTGCCCAGCACTGAGGGACAGTCACTGCCCTGGTCCTGCTGGCCACACTGGTGCTGGCACAGAAGCTCAGGAGGCCTCCTTGGCCAGCTGGGCACATACCGTCTCATGTTCAGCCACTGCCAACCAGCACTTCCAGGTCCTTTTCCAGCAGGTCATTTTGTGCTGAGCAGCTTTCCAGTCACTCTTCCCACCTGCGTGGGTTCCTGCTGCCCCAGGGCAGGCAGGAGCAGCCTTGGGGCTTCCCCTTCCTCAGCTCTCATCATGGCTCCTCAGCCCCAGGCTGGCACAGGAGGGTGGGGAGCTTGTTTTTAATGGAAACTGGGCATCTCCTGTGTTTCCCGATTACAGGCCACTGCTCACAAAGCTGTTAACCCAAGGTGTAATTACAGGCTTCTCAACACCTCTGCAGCTGTAGTGCAGCACCAGGGAATGTGTCTGGTCATCCTGACACTTGTCAGCGCTGTGGGGGAGGTGTGGAGGGCACGTGTAAACTATGAAGTGATGATGGAGCTGCACCTTCATTATTAACACATTCCCTACGTTTACACTGTGGGCCTGCTGCATAGGAAAGTTGTAACGTGCTTGTGGATGGGGTTTTGGTGCTGGGAGTGTTTGCTCCAGAAGTTTGCCTGTGCCTGTTTGGGTAAGAGCTGCAGGGTGAGTGAGCACTTCCAGAAGTGGTGACATTGTTTGCATTAATTCATTAATGGTTTAAATCAAAAAGTTTCCAGTATGCTTTACAAACAACATGCCTGATGGTTTGTGTTGGTAAGAAATCTGCTAAGGCCACTATATAATCTCCACTTAATATGAGAGAGAAGAGCAGACCTTTTCTAGAATATAGAATAATAATTCACATGGAATTTAGGGGAGAAAGGAATGTACCCACAAAGAATCATTACATGGAAAACACAGGGAGTTTATTGACTGAATGTTACTATTTTATACAGAATTTGCCCAGTACATAAGGCCAAGCCTACAGATGATACTGATTTATTGATAAAATATAATACCATGAACAGTTGAAAGTGCAAGGATAACAACAGTATATGATAAATTCCAAAATTCCTGCATTTGGGGACATAATTTATAGTTAGCTATTGCAGATAATCTCTATCTCTTATGCTGTATAATCCTTTTGAGATTATATTTTATGTGAGCCATTGTATGTATGTTATATCTGAAAGGAAGCACAAATATCCTAAAATGCTGCCTGGATGTCTGGAAGGATTGGTTTCTTTCTCCATCCTTATTGTCTTGTGACATCTTGTGGAGACAGCTGACATTGCTCCAGCAAATTTCTTAAAAATACTACTGGGGTATTTAATTATTTCAATATACAAATAAACCTCATCAAACTGCCAGGATTTCTGAGGGCATTGAGCTTGGTGGTGGGAAGGCACAGGTGAAGGACCCTCTGAGCTCCTCAGAGCTGCTTTTTTCCCCTCTGCCAGTGAGACCCTGGCCAGGTGTAGGTGCCTCTGTGAGTCACTGTGTCCCAGAGAAGGGACAAAGGGAGCAGGAGCTGCCCCTGGCAGGAGAGGGAGGCTGTGAGTGACTGGGCTGAGCACTCCCCATCCCTCCCTGGCCCTGAGGCCATGCTGCTGTGGGGCTTGGTCAGCCTCTGTCTGAGACTCTGAGGCCAGCTGGTGCTGCCATCTCTCCAGCTCCTTTCCCTCTGGGAAATTTTGTCCATTTTTTAGAAGATAACTGAAGGTCAAGGCTAAAGCTTGTTCAGTTCCTTTTATGCTGCTGTTTTTCCTCATGTCTCCTAAATGGGGGAAAGCCAAGAGGAGCAGAGAGACCTGCCTGGAGCCCATAGCTCGTGCCACAGAGGCTGAGGAGACCTGGAAAGAGGTTGTGGCCAGGTGAGGGTTAATGTTTTCTTCCAAGTAACAAGTGACAGTACAAGAAGAAATGGCCTCAAGTTGTGCCATTGGGAGGTTTAGATTGGATATTAGGAAAAATTTCTCCACCAAAAGGGTCGTCAAGCATTGGTACCATCTGCCAAGGGAAGTGATTGAGTCACCATCCCATAAGGGATACGAAAGACATGTAGATGGGGCTCTTAGGGACATGGTTTAGAGGTGGCCTTGGCAGTACTAGGTTAGACTTGATGATATTAAGGGTCTTTTCCAACCTAAATGATTCTGTAATTCTACCCTAAATGCAATTTTAGTTCCAGATTTTTCAAGCACTGCGAGTTCTATTGAAGTTACTTTGTTGGAGTGCCACTACTTTAACTCATGACATGGACCCTTATGAAAGGCTGCAATAAGGTCCCTGGACCCTTCTCCAGGATGAGCAACCCAAACTCTCTCAGGCTGTCTCCACAGGAAGGGCACTTCAGCCTTCTGAGGATTTCCATGGTTTCCTCTCGAGCTGTTCGAAGAGGTCCATGAATTTTTCTTGTACTGGGGATTCCAGACCTGGAGGTCTCACCAGAGTGGAGCAGAGGGGCAGAATCCCCTCCCTCACCTGCTGCCCACACTGTGGGATCAACCAGGACATGTTTGGCTTTCTGGATGTAAGTGCACACATGGCCAGCTCACATCCAGCCTCTCATCCACCAGCACTCCCAAGTCCTTCTTGGTGGGGCTGCTCTCAACCCACTTATTCCCCAGCCTGTGCTGATACTGGGGTTTGGTTATCCACATGCAGCATCTCACACTTGCATCATTAAGGTTCCCACATCCTCCACCAGAAATTCACCTGAACTCTCATACAAGGCTCAACTTCTGGAGTTTTTGTACTTCCAGAGTCTTCAAGATTTTGCCATTTAAGCTATGTGACTGAGAAATCCTCTCAGAGGAAGATCTCTCTCTTCTTGATGAGGCTCAGGAGGGACCTCATCGCTCTCTACTATTACCTCAAAGGAGCTTGTAGTGAGCTGGGGCTGGCCTCTTTTGCTGTGCCAGCAGTGTGAGGACCAGTGGAAATGGACTTAAGATGAGAGAGGGGAGATGCTGATAAGAAAAAAAAAAAAATTGTTCGGGTAGTCGGGTATTGGAATACACTGCCCAGGGCGGTGGTGGAATCACCATTCCTGGGAGGGTTTCAGGTGAAAACCTGAGTCTCGCGATGTGGTTCAGGGGTTACAGTGGCACTGCTGGGCTGACAGTTGGACTGGATGATTCTATGACACCAGACCAGTTTCGGGATTTGGGAATGCCAGGAAGGCTCACTTCGTTCTAAGGGCTAGCTAGAGCCCTGTAGGTTTTCATACACAATCGGCTGAAGTTCCCCAGGTGAATCACTCGTTCGTCCACTCCTGTTTTGCGTTGCTCTTGGAGCAATGCCTCGTGTTCACAGGCTCCCAGTCCCTGTGGAATCCCCAGGAGCAGCACCGCGGACGACAGCGGAGAATCGCCGCGCTCCCCTCACGACTCTCCCGCCATGGCCCGCCGCGCATGCGGGGCGGAGCGGCCATTGCCGTCAGTTCCGGCGGCAGCGGGGCGGCTCCTGTCCCGGCTGTGAGTGCCGCTTCCCCGGTTACCGCCCGGCAGCCGCGTCCCCCTGTGCTAGACCGGCTCCTGTCCCGGCTGTGAGTGCCGCGTCCCCCTGTCCTAGAGCGGTTCCTGTCCCGGCTGTGAGTGCCGCTTCCCCGCTTACCGCCCGGCAGCCGCGTCCCCCCGTCCCGGCCGTGAGTGCCGCTTCCCCGCTTAGCTCTCGGCAGCCGCGTCCCCCCGTCCTAGAGCAGTTCCCGCCCGGGCTGTCAGTGCCCTTTCCCCGGTTACCGCCCGCCCTCGCTTACCACAGACCGGCTCCTGCCGGCAGCCACGTCCCCCCGTCCTAGACCGGTTCCCGCCCGAGCTGTCAGTGCCCTTTCCCCGGTTACCGCCCGCCCTCGCTTCCCACAGACCGGCTCTTGCCGGGCTGTCGATGCCCCTTTCCCGGTTGCCACCCGGCAGCCGCTCCCCCAGAGCAGCTCCCCCGCGCCTTTCGCTGTCCCTGACGGGGCTCAGGGGGGTGTGCGCCTCCACCGCGCCTCTGCTGCGCTTGGCTCTTCTGCAGTTTATTCCTTTTCCCTGCTAAACTTGGCCGGCTTAGGGACAGGGAAAGGGGGAAGCTCCCAGCCGCTGCGGCCTCTGCTGGGGGAAGTGGCAGGACGGTGCTGCTGCACGCTGGGAATGGGGCTGTATCCTGGGAATGTGCCTGTACCCTGGGATAGGGCTGTACCCTGGGAATGGGGCTGTATCCTGGGAATGGGGCTGCTGCCCTGGAATGGGGCTGCACCCTGAGAATGGGGCTGCTGCCCTGGAATGGGGCTGCACCCTGAGAATGGGGCTGTATCCGGGAATGGGGCTGCACCCCGGGATGGGGCTGCACCCTGGGAATGGGGCTGTACCCTGGGATAGGGCTGCATCCTGGGAATGGGGCTGTACCCTGGGAATGGGGCTGTACCCTGGGAATGGGGCTGCACACTGCGGATGGAGCTGTACCCTGGGAATGGGGCTGTACCCGGGATTGAGGCTGTACCCTGGGAATGGGGCTGCACACTGGGGATGGGGCTGCACACTGGAGATGGGGCTGCTGGGCAGACCCCGGGCAGTGAGGTGGGACAAGGGAGGTACAGTCCATAGTTGTGAGGAGCCTTTCCTCCAGGCAGCTGTTTCTCTGTCACCTGTGTCCCTGCGAGCTTGGAACTCGTTGTTCTGCTTGTAAAACCAATGGTGTCAAGTCTAAAGCTGGGCTGAGTTTGTTTTGTTTTGTTTTGTCCGTGTGTTTTGTTTTTGTGGAGGTTTGGCGTTTTGTTTGTGGTTTTTTGGTGGTATTTATAGTTCAAGGCTTTGGAGCTGAAATTCACGAAGGGATCCGTGGGGTCCAGGAGGTCTCAGACATGAAAGGATTCAGGGACGTGCATCTTCATTCAAGACTCAGCTGCAGTGCAGTAATTTATTTTAGAGAGCTCAAGAGAAAAGGGATTCTAAATACTTAAATGTAAAGGCAGAAAACATTGCCTGGTCCTTACTTGTGTGTGTTTTGAGAAAGCAAGACTTTGCTTTTCCTCAAAAATAGGTGGTCTGGTCCTCATTTTCCTCTGCTTGGCCATGTGAGAGCACTGACAGCTGTATAAAGTTTTGTGATCGTGATTTGGTGCTTGTTTACACCTTACCCCACACAATTTTGCATATTTCCCCAATAAAATGGGACTGAAGAGCCTGAGTTTGACAGGCTGTCCTGAGCTGGTATTGCTGCCCAGTGGCTGTGGTAGAGACTTGTGTAGCTGCACAGGGAGTAAGATTCACTTGGAAAGCCCTTATTTACAGAGTTTTGTTTGATAAGTGACTAAAAGTACTCCTTGTGCACAGTGTAATGTCAGTAGGTTGCATGGTTGAAGATTTAGTAAAATAATGAAAGAAACAGTGGTATTGTAGCACATAAATTCAGGCTGCAGAAATGTTTAGCATCAAAGCCCTTCTTTGATTCAACAACCTCGTACACTTCTGAAGGTTAAAATAATCTGTGTTTTTCTTTCAGTAGCCTGCAGCTGATGCAAAATGAGTGTTCCTGACTACATGCAGTGTGCTGAGGATCATCAGACCCTCCTGGTGGTGGTGCAGCCCGTTGGCATTGTCCCTGAAGAGAGCTTTTTCAGGATCTACAAGCGCATTGCGGCCGTGAGCCAGGTGAACGTGCGCGACTCGCAGCGCGTGCTCTACATCCGCTACAGGCACCACTACCCCCCGGAGAACAACGAGTGGGGCGATTTTCAGACTCACCGCAAGGTCGTGGGGCTGATCACCATCACAGAGTGCTCTTCAGCCAAGGAATGGCCTCAGACTTTTGAGAAGTTCCATCTTCAGAAGGAAATGTACGGCTCTACCCTCTATGACTCCCGCTTGTTTGTCTTTGGGCTTCAAGGAGAGATTGCAGAGCAGCCCCGCACAGATGTGGCCTTTTATCCCAGTTATAATGAGTGTGAGACTGTGGAGAAGAGAATAGAAGATTTTATTGAGTCCCTCTTCATAGTGCTGGAGTCCAAGCGTCTCGACAGAGCCACTGATAAGTCTGGAGACAAGATCCCCCTGCTCTGTGTTCCTTTTGAGAAGAAGGATTTCGTAGGGCTGGACACCGACAGTAGGTAAGCAGCTGCTTTTGTCAGCTCACAGGTCTTAAAAAACCACATCTGTGGCGCTTGCCAGCCTTTAGGATAAGCCTATTAGAAAGGACAGGGTGAGCCTTGTTCCAGCAGAGCTGTGCCCTGATCTTTCTGTGTCTGCTTGCTGTAGTTTTAAGAGAATTTAACGTGTAGTCTCACTGTATTTGATGTTCTGAGCTTGTTTTTATATATGTATTTAATTGATGAAGCTCATCAAATAGCAGAAAGAAGTCACAGGAGTGGTTTGACAGATTCTGCTCTAATGAGACTTTTTGCTGGAAAACTTCCAATGTTTTGTAGATATACAGTCTTGATAAAAAAATTCAGTTAGTATCAATGAAACTATTTTTATGTCATGTTGAGTAGTAGTTGACTATCCTACTTACTGTATTTTTTCTCTTGAAACCTCTGTCTACTTTTTGGTTCTATAGACAATGGCTGTTTATTTTGATAATGAAGTCCAGCATCTTTCCCTGTCCTTCTTTGTTTCATGTAGTTATTTGTTATCACTTTTTACCTGTCTTGTTTTGCTAGCTGTTTGGTTTTTTGTATGTTAGAGTTTTATTCCCCCATTTTTCCTTCCTCCTCATTTGCATACTCATCTGTCAGATTTGAGTGTTGCATAGCTCCTCTGCAAGGGATTAGTAATTCTGGCTTGATAGCTACAGGCAGGAGCAAAATCTGTTTGACTCTGCTGTTTGCAGTCAAATCCAGGGGATGGAAGCATCCACCTTTTGTCCTGGCAGAGACAGAGGTGGAGAAGCCCTATGAAAACTCAGGAAATAGTGGTGTTCATATCAGAGGTTTTTATTGTGTGTCAAAGCTCAGAGGTGTCCAGGCAGGTCTGTGAAGCTTTTAGATCAAATTAATCAGCTCTGCCTGCATTGCTGGTCCTGGCGTTGGAAACAGGAAGGAAGCATTCCAAGTTTCTAATTAGTTTGAAGCTTTTGTTAAATTATCTGTGGAGGCATGAGGAACCATCAGTACCTCATTGACCTGCTCCTCGTTGGTGAGCACTTGAATGGCTCTGACCAGTTGGTCCCTGTTTGTCCCTGCACAATTCTTCAGTTATCAGTATGAATTACTGTGTTACTGCTTTTTGCACGTGGGTGGTAAAATTGAGAAGTTTGGACAAGCCTTTGTAGAATCTTGTCTTTTGTTACTCAGTTTGAATGAAGTTTGGCTGAATGTAATCAAAATCTCCTGTCCCAAATAGGTAGCAAATGATAATTGTTGGCCAAGAATCTCAAAATCAGAATGAATTCTGCTGTTCAGTTTTGTCTTCTGAAAAATTGTGATTTGGAAATGGTTTCTTAGATGAATGCCTAATCTCTGAGCAGTGGTTGTGTTGCTGCTAGTGGGAAATACTCCTTGTGAAGTTCTGAGCTGGTGAGGAAATGGAGTGGCAGCAGAATGTGTGCCCACACATCTCCAGGCAGGTATTTGATGCTGTTGCAGTGAGGAATTCAGATTCAGCGTGATGCTTCAGTTCTTGGCAGAATGGAGGGTGTGTGACCCTGCCTGTGGACACAGGGGTTTATCCAGAGTTAATCACTGCCTCAGCTCTGCACACACCTTGCTGGCAGGTCTGAATACCAAACAGGTTCTCAGTGAGTCTGGATCAATGGATGCACTTGAAATGTTTGCTGCACTGAGCTGCTCAAGGAAAAGGTGTTAAATATTCTAATTTTTCAGTTCAGTAGTAAGAAAGTACTTCAGTTCTGTTTTGCTGTGGAGTTAGTACTTCTGATTGTTATAAAACTTATGATTTATACATTAAAACTTCAGAAAGCGGAATGAAAATGTATTTCTAGCTTCTCTGCACAGGAGCCTTTCTAGGCACTTTCATGCAGCCTGGTGCATCTCTGCCCTCTGTTCTAATGCACAAACTCAGGTCCATAGAATAAGGTTGAACTCAGGTCAGTTTATATCAGTTTAACTAACTTACACTTTGAAGCCAAAATCTTTGGATGTGAGCCAGTGACAGTAACATTGCATTTCATTGCTTGTGAGTTTTTTGCTGCTTGGATTGGAGTTCACAGGATTTTATTTTAGCACATTCCCTCCCTTCTGTAGTGACAGATTGAGGAATTAAGGGAAAGCACTGCAGACCAGGGAGAGACAGGGCCAGGAAGGACCTTCAATAGAGAGCAGTTTGTGTTTTTGCAAGAGTGGATGTGTAATTCTGATCAGGGAGGGCTCAAGGTTGTTTGAATGCAGGAAATGGGTACATCTGGTAGAACAACTTTTGCTACTTTGTTGGTTTTGAGTCTGTCACCATAATGATTTTACAGAAAGAAATAAAAACATGATGATATTGAGATATTGAGGCAAATGAAGCAGCTTTTTCTAGAACAGGTGGAAATTTCTGAAGGGTTAAAGGCAAAGAAAGTCCTTTGATCTTTTCTGTATTCTTTCTGTCTATTTGCAATTTTTGTATACAGTGTATCCTGACTTCCCAGTCAATGTGCAACCAATTACTTAAAACCACAAATGTTCTCTGTTAAATAAATGTCAAAGAAGACACACTGTTCTTGTAACAGAGGGTGTGTGTCTGCTGCTGTAATTGTGGTTACCTACTTAGACTAAATAAACATCTATTTTCCTATAACTTCTGAAATTGAAGTTAAATGGCAATGTGTAGCAAAGGTGTAATTAAATATATGGTGCAGCTGTACCTGGAGCTGTTGGGATGATAGATTGAGGGAAATATGTTGAGAATTTACATGGGCCACATAATTCTGATCACATGATTTGGAGACTAATTAAAACTATTGAACATAGTTTGTATCTTAAAAGATACTCTTCTGCAAGTATTTTATGGTCAAATATTAATGTTAATATTTATGTGATGATCAGAGCTTTATATATAAACCTGATCTTCTCCCTCACCCAGTTAGTAGATTCTCATCAGCTTGGTTGCATGATAATTGCCATGGAAGTCAACTGATTGGCTGATTTTAAGATGCAAAGTTCATAAATTAGGAAGATTAATTATTATTTCAAATAAGGCAATTCTTGGGAAAACTGAGGATGATCTTTGTCTTTTGCAAGTTGTTTGTATAATGAGGAGAGACACATTCCCAGAGCTGACTGAGAGGACAGCACACACAAACTCACTGAGTTTTCTGTGTAGAAGAACTTTTTTTGGATGGTAGAGAACTTTATGTATGAAAAATAATGGGCTGAGTCCTAAAATGTTTTGAAGAAAGGTTGTCCTGTTAAACAGAAATTGTAGGACTGAGAGGCTGACCTTGGGTTAATTCCCGGAGCATTCAGCCAAGTGGGGATTTTGGCAAATTGATTTATTTTTTTCTTTCTGTTTTTTCAGCTGTAAATTGGATAAAATATTTATATGGTCACAGGGCTGCTGAGGATAGTTGAAACATTTTCTGAAATCAGTTGCACTTGATAGTTATTTGTAGAGGCTGGGAGATTGATGGAGAACAATGGAAACATGTTCTCATGATGATAAAAATGTCCTACAAACTGAAAACTAGGAAATATATGTGCCAGAAATACTGAAAATCCCATTTGTTTTGAGTTTTCAATTTTATTTCTGTTTTCAGCTAAAAATAAACATACTTAAGGATGATTGTAAATCTACTTGGATAAGCTCATTTTAATGTTGTTTACATCAGTTTGTGTCTTAGGTTCTTTCTTTTTTTAATACTGGCATTGTTTAATGCTGTGAAGGGATGAGGATGTAGGGCTCTGTTTGTAGAAGTGTCATAGCTGGGATTTGTGCACTGATTTATCAAAGCTGATGATCTCAGTATGTGTATGTGGCTGTTAATTTCCTTTCTGTTCTCTGTCTTTCTAATTTCTGTTCTGTTCCTTTCTGTTTTTTTCCCCCCCCTTCTTCTCTCATACTGCCCTGTGAGTTTGTTGTTGGGTCTAAAAAGGTAGGATGTGATTGTGTATCTTTGAAAATAGTTAGCTTTTTTCCCATGTCCTGCCTCTCCACTTCGCCTTCATTGCATATTTTAGTGTTGCTTTTTATCTTTATTTTCTCAGTACACACAAAAACAATCGCTGCCTGGAGCCTCCCCACTGCAGCTGCTCCCCTTTGGCGCATTTGGCAATTACATTTGGTAGCGACGCTGAGTTTTTTTGTAGGACACACCTAGTCTGCTTAGGTGGCTGCTGGCCTCTGGAATTTGCTTTATTTTTTAAACTCCAAAGCCATGAAGCTGTTGCTGCCTGTGTTTGATTTCCAAATTCAAAAGTTCTGGCACTTGATCCAGTGCTGTAGCTGTGTCTCTTGGAGTCTGGATAATGTTATGATTGGTGATTTCTATAGCTCTGCATGCTAACTGGAATTAGTAGAACTTGATGGAAATTTTTGTTGGAGCATTTTGCATGAATACACTTTTGAGAATTGATTTTGCATGTTTCTTGTTTGTAAATTGAGCCAAATTTGGAGGATCCAGAAATTTCATCAAACTTGTTTCTGGATGGTTTGTAGTGAAAATAAATTCTGTCTTGAAATATAACACTGTAAATTTTCCATAAAATTATCCTGGGATCCTAGAAAAGAGCTGGAGATGAAAGAATAAAGCACATATCCTGTAGAGCAAAGAAAGCAGAAATGGAAATCAAGTAGTTCTGCATAATTCTTGGAGCAGATTTATTGTCCCCCACTTTGCAGTGGTAGCTGTGGTCACTGGCCATGATTGTGGTGATTCCTGTGAATATAAGAGTGTGTTTGGTAGAGCATTAACCCAACCAACTTCAGAAAATAAGATTTTAAAGTAGTTTTGCAGTCAATGGGATTTTTCTGTGTGGTGAGGACCTTCAGAAGAGGAGTTTGGGTGGGTGACACCAAGGGGCTTTCCATGGGTGGCCCTGCAGGAGGTGGCACTGCCTTCCCTGGGGATGTTTCTGAGTGCATAACACACAGGAGGGGGTTTGTAGGGAGAGACTTTGGGTGCTTCTTTGAAATTTCATGTTGTAAATGATCTTCTAGAGGAAAAATTAATAGGAGCTGCTCTTGGCAGAAGGAACTGGCCTAGAGAAAAGTTGTCCTCTTGTCCTAGAAGAAGTAATTGTTAATTTATGGGGGCTTCCTGTCCCTAAATAGATTAGGATTAAGCAGGAGAGAGCTGAAATATTTTAACAGGGTTTTAACAAAAAATAATTCAGAGAGAAGATATCTGTAAGCTTCTCACTTTCAGGTTCTTCAGCTAAAGCTGTGAAGCAAAAGTAGCTCAGTATTAAAATGAGCAATCACTTTATGCTGAAACATATTTATATATATATATATATATATATATATATATATATATATATATGAATATACATGCAATAGGACATTTTTCCCATTAAATTTGCACCCCAGGATGCACAGAAGAAACAGTGAGTCCCTTGGACATGATTTTAAGGCCCTGATGTTGTAGATAGTGGATTTGTTAAAAAGAGGCTTCCCAAATGTGAAGTGAATTAAGTTTTGCTGGCTGTGGAGAGTGGGTTTAGTTTCCATGCAGTCTTTGCCTTTTGTCTTTTTGGACATACTTGAAGTAATTGAATTCACTGTACTTAATTGTGACTGCCTAATTAAGTTAAATTAAGACAGTTTATACATTTGTTTGGTACAAACTTACTCTATAATTAGTGAGAAAATATTTTCCAAGAGGATGGCAGTGACTTGCAGGGCCTGTAGGAGATGAATCCTGTCTTGGCAATACCTTGAAGAGCCTAAAAATAAGTGGAGTGAATTCAGTTTTTGAATAATTGACAGTAAGTTTCTTCATCACTAGGAATAAATTATCTGGTTTTCTATAAATAAAGGAGAGTTTCTCAAAGAACAGTGGTTTTATGAGCGATATTTATTGATGTAGCTGTTGAATAAATGCCTTCAAACTTCAGATATATTGACTGGGCATAAATCAGCAGCAGAATTAGGTGGTGAGGCTGTGTGATCAAATTCTGGTATCAGGTCCTGATTTAGGAGTCAGGCATCATCTCTCTTCCTTTGCTGTATGATTCATATTTATAAACTCAATCATCTGCTAGCTGGAAAATCTAGAAGAAAACTCTAAAGTACAGTTTTGAGAGAATAAGAACTTTAATTTGTTCCTAAACATAAAGATTGCTTGAAAGCATAGAGATGGAGTTGGAAGCAGTGGCAAGTTTGAGAGGAATTAGAGCTGGGTAAGGAAACGGTGATTCTCCAATTCCACCACTGCTGTAAAAAACCAAAAAAAGTTAAAGCAATTTAACATTTACAATGCTATTTTCATTCTGGAGTGCAGAGAGTAGGAAATCTGATTTATAACCAATTTAAACTCTCCTGTGCAATGCTGATTCCAGATTACAAAGGTACTTTTTGATGGAGTTATTTTTCTATAACTCAGAAATATTGGTAAGATTTGGTGCCCTTCCATATTTCATACAGAGCAGCTTTAGTTTTCACATTGAATTTTCTTGCATTTTTGTTCTTAAAAGATCTGTAAAATACAATTTGTTGAAAAATAAAAGACAAATATTTCAATTCCTGACTGACACATCTGAAAGATGAAGAACAACAGTTGTATTGAGCTTCATTTAATGGCAACACCTTCACATCAATTGTGAATGTGGTGTGCTAGATCAGAAAAGGGCAAACATTTATATAGGAATTATTTGTAACTTTTTAGATGGAGAGAAGCAATAGGAGACCTATTGCTTGTCTCCTTTTATTATTTCCTTTTTTTTTGCAGACAATAACACTGGTTCTGATAGCTTCTCTCTTCAGTTTTTATAAGGCTGTTGTCTGTACTTCTATATATCTTCTCTTTTTCAATTTCTGTCCCCTGTCCATATAAATCAGTTCCTTTCTCTTCATCTCCTTTTCCCAAACCAGCTGCAAGGAATGAGACATTATTTGGTGGCTGAAAAGATGTTTCTCTGTGGTGTAAACTACCCAAGCCAAACTGATAGCCTTGAAGGCAAATAAACCAGTGCCATGGAATTGTTTGGGTCCTTGCCATTCCTCCTGGCCCTTGTGCCTTCAAATCTAAAGGAAATAAATGAATGTCCTTATTCCTCCCCTTACATTTCATATGTTCTGTGCTTCTCCTTTTCTCATTTCTACATTACAGTCCTCATGGGGATAGTTTGTTCAGATGCTTTGTGGAGATTGTTTCAGTGGCATTTCAGTTCATCTCTTGAAAACAAACCCCACTGCCCCAAACTGGTTTTATTCCTTAACTTTGGCATTCCTCTTATATTCTGGTCTCACTCCAGGGAATAAGAGTTCAACATCTGTAGAAGGGGTGTAACCTTAGGGGTTTTTCTGGGTTTCTTTTTTATTTAAAGTTGTTAAGTTCAAAATAGTCTTGGTAACATTTTAGAAAATCACTGGTTTGGGCTGGAGCAAACCTTAAAGATCATCTCCTTCCAGCCCCTCTGCCATGGCAGGGACACTTCCATTATTCCAGGTTGCTCCAAACCCCATCCAAGCTGGCCTGGAACACTTCAGGGATGGAGCATCCACAGCTTCTCTGGGCAACCTGTTCAACTTAATTTAAGTTAAATTAATTAAATTGAAAACATATCACTTCATCTCCTAAAAGCTCAGAGTTTACAGCTATATCAATCCAAGTTGGTTCTTTGTATTTTTACCAGATTCTTTGGATTTCACGTGTACAATAAAGAATGGCATCTGCATCAATTCTTCTAATTAAATTTTCATTTTTGATAGACTTTTATTTTAGTTTAAACTATCCAGAGAAATAAGAGTTTATTTTTCCTCAGTGTGATGTTTGTAAAGTAAACTTTCATACCTCTCTTGATGTATTTAGAAGACACTGTTAGAACAACAGGATATACTATTGAAAATGACATAAATAAATTAATAAAATATCTCAATTGACATTTAAATTTCTTCCTCATGAAACAAGTTTATAATTATAGTGCAAGGACATTCTGGCCAGGGAATACTTTTGCAGGAGGGAGAAAATAAGGATTGTTCATGGATTTGGGAGAGCAGAGTTGTTCTGAACTGTCTCTTAAACCATGAGGTGTTCTCTAAATCCAGTCTTACTTTGCATCTGTTACTTTTTAAACTTTTCTTTAGCTGAAATGTACTAAAAACCCAAACAGAACAGTAGGATTAGTGCCTTTGTCACACAGATTTATGCCCAAGTTGCCTTTTCAGCTGTACCAAGGTGTCTCTTGAATATATTCAGTAGATTTTGTTCATTTGGGAAGAACATCACCATTTATTTTAACATGTAGAAAAAAAGGAGGAGGAGAAATTCTGTCAGCTGTTGCCTGAAGTGATGGTGCTTTTTCACTCATCATCCCTTTAAAAGAAGGGGCTGGGAGGGGGACGTTTGTGGGGGTCTGAGGGGGTTCTGGTCCCCGATACCTTTGGGCTGTGTGTGGAGAGGGTCCCAGCAGAGGAGACAGAGCAGGATTTGGGAAAGGTCACCTTTAATATGCTCAGAGCTAAAATGTGAGGGATTCCATGGGAGGCATCCCTGGAGTTGTGGGATTTATTCAAGAAGAGCTTCCTGGAAGCACAGGAACAATCCATCCCCTGCTGAGGGAAAAGAAAAAGGCAGAACAAGAGACCACCCTGGCTTAACAATGAGCAAAAAAGCAGCATATCAGCTATGGACAGGCAGCCAAATACTCACTGTAGTCTGCAGGAACCTTGCTTTGGAGGTTTTCAGGGCTTGTGACTCTAGCTGTGTACCCAAAACATGTGATACATGGCTTTTTCCAATATATCCTCAAATTGTTGCTCCTTTTGCACATGACATTAGTTAGCATTCATATTTGCTTAGAAGCAGAGAATAAATCCACGTTGATCTGCTATGAAGGAGGGAAGAAATTGACTTTAGGTGTTTGTCAGCCCAGAGCAGATCCCTGAGCTGCTCCTGTCTGTTGCAGACACTACAAGAAGCGCTGCCAGGGCCGCATGCGGAAGCACGTGGGGGATCTGTGCCTGCAGGCGGGCATGCTGCAGGATTCCCTGGTGCACTACCACATGGCAGTGGAGCTGCTGCGCTCTGTCAACGACTTCCTCTGGCTTGGAGGTAGGACTGGCTGTGGCACTTGTAGTCCCAGGTGTGAAAATGTGGATTTTATGTAAATGTGTATTTCATTTTGGCTTTTCGCAAATATTAAAGTGAATATTGTATGTGTTATGTTAGAAAGTTATGCTGTATTAAGTATATATATATATAAAGTATATATATATATAAAGTATATATATATATAAAGTATATATATATATGCTTTCTTAAGTATATTAAGTATCTTAATATTGTGTTAAATATAGTTTTACGTTATAACATAATGTTAAAATAGAAATTATGCTACATAAGATCCTTTTTTTCTAAAAAAGTAAGATACATAAGACACTTTTTTTCATTAGACATCTAATTTCATTAGACATCTAATTACACATTTTGTTTGTGTAAATGGACTTTACCACAGGATGCTTCACTTCCTGCAAATGTCTCTGCTAACCCTTTGGCTTTTTTTGCTTTTCTCTGCAGCTGCCCTGGAGGGGCTGTGCTCAGCATCTGTCATCTATCACTACCCAGGGGGCACTGGGGGTAAAGTTGGCTCTCGCAGGGCCCAAGGAGGTTCTCTGTCTGCTGAGGCAGGCAACAGGCACAGGCCAGGTAAGGATGGCATTTCTGGTTCATTCTGTTTGCCACCACATCTGAAAACTTCTCCCTACATCCTAACTGTAAAATTGTACAGATGACAGCATTAATCAGAGGAGGGAGCTTTGGGGAATAATTTTGTTGTTTTTTTTTTTTTTTAGAGTTTTGCAATTATTTTTCTGTTTTGGTGTTAATGTCAACACATATGCTTTGCATAGAATTGCAAAGCTTTTGATTTCTTCACCTGATTGTTAGTAGTGTCTGTGTTAGTTTGAATTTTGCTGGAGGAGATGCAGACAGTTTTCATAAAATAGGATCTGGCAGGGCTGCACGTATTAAAAAGAACTAAATTTGGAACATTTTATCAGGGTTTTTTTTGCTACTCTAAAGTCAATGAGTAACAAATAGATTTTTTAAAATGAAATGCCAATAAACCAATGTAATTTTTAAGATTTAGTATACTTTTTCTAAACTCTTGGACTGCAAAGGAGATGGCTGAGGAGAAATATGAGAACAATCTGTAATGCAGTGAACATTGTGGAAAAGGATGGGTGGGGATCACAGGCTCAGTGTTTGTTTCAAGAGAAGAACTGGAGGACATCAAGCAGAGCTTAGCAGATGGAGAAGCAGATGAAAGGAGTTACTCTTTACCCAGCCTCCAGGTATGCCATGGAACTCCTTGGCATTCAGAGGTGCCAATCTGGTGCTGTGTGTGAGAGAGGCAAGGCTGCTGCAGCTCCATGGCCCCAGGTCCAGGCAGGCAGGAGGCTGAGCAGGAATTCCCAGCAGCCTGGAGAACACACAGGGAGCACAGACACAGCCTCAGTCTGTCCAGGAGCTGGCACTGCTCTGCACCAGGGGCTGGCACCTCAACCCACAAGGCTGAGAGCCAGAGCCCATTGCAGCTGTTGGTGCTTAGACCAGCACACACCCATGCCCTCCCCTCTGCTTTTCCATGCTTGGTCCCTAAACTGCCTCAGTCCCTCCTTGTGCTTGTCTTTGGCTCGTCCCCTACACCCCAGAAGGAATCTTGTACAATCCCAGGGTGTTCTTTCCCCCCAGTGAGCCCCATATCCCTGTAGGAGTGACCCCCCAGTCTGTGTGTAAGAGATCCAGAGAGCTGCTGGGGTAACTGAGCTGGGCTTCACCTCCCAGAGCTCTGATCAGCTCTGGGCTTCACCCCCCCAGCTCTGGTGGCTCTGATTTGGTTATTGGGGCTCAGCTGATGGTGACTGATCCTCTCCACTCCTCTGTGGCTGTGCAGATGAGCCTGTCACGTAACCTGACACTTGTCATGTGGTGTTACAGCTCCTGAAGGGTTCTGTGGCTTTCAGAAGAGGCTGGGCTGGGTAGGAAAATGGAAATACATTGGTTAATGGGAGCTACACAGGCCTGTGGGCTAACCCAGCACAGCTGCTGCTGTGTATGCATTCACTCAGCACTGAAACAAAGCTGGGTTTCAGTGCTGGTGTTTTCTCTTGTGCAATGTGGTCAAAATTAATTCCTTCATCTAAAGAAGCAACCACTCATCTTTTTTCTTTTATAAGTCACAATCTAGTAAACACTTGCTTTGTATTACCTTTATTATCAACTGTGTGTATTGAAATCAGATAATTGTGATAGTCAAATTACCTTATTTCAGGACAGAATACTAATTTTTATACCATACCTAGTCATTAAAATCTGTGCATTTGGTCCCATGACCTATGGATGCATTTTACATTGGCTGTTACAATTTCACCTGGTTAATGACCTTTATCTACTTTTCAATGAATATTTATCAGGAGATGTTGCAATCTGTTTGTTTGTTATGGGTACTCCTGGTTACTAAAGAAGATAAAAAGTCACAGTTATCAGAATAATTGAATTTTTTTTGGGTATATTATTGCTGGTTTCTATTTAAGTTGTCTTGTATTTCAAAGTCCAGTTTGTAAACTTGTTACTGTAGTTGTATTTTAAAAATGTTTTAGGTTCATATTAAAAGATTTTTCAAAGGACTTTTCTGTGAAGAAAAACTGATTACAGTTTTTTTTGTCATCCTTTGCAGACAAGAATATTACTTTGTGGCCCATTAGATACTGCTCCCTAACTCTAGTTATGATCTCTGTGATGGTGTGAACTGCTGAGCTCCCTCTGGCCAAACAGCTGTTGCTGTGATGTCATTTTCCTACAAAGTTTTCTGAAAGTTTCTATTTATTACCTATTCCTGACTCTGCAGTGCCTTTCATTTGAAATCCTTTCAAACTGCACCTTTGGTTATAGTCTCTTTCACTGGAATTGATTTTGTGAGGACAGTGCTCAGTCTGGGGAACAAATTCCACTGTTTCTTTCTGTGGGATAAATCCAGGAAAAAAGGGATTCCAAATTCTGCACAAAGAAATGCCACACTTGGAACCGAAACTTGTGCCTGATTTTGAGGATGTAGATGTGAGAGTTACCTTTAGTGCTTCCTCTTGTACCTGGAATTGCACCTCTTGTACTTCAGCCTTCACAGGATGCAGCTTCCTGCCCAGATCCAGCCAAGAGAAACATCTTCCTCTGGAATCCCTTGTGATTTCCATCCTTTGGCATTTTTAGGCTGCAGCACAGGACCTGGCTGCTCAGCAGATGGGGGTGTCTGCTTTATGTAGAAACAACTTTGGAAAGAAAGCTCCAAAATACACCTGAGCTTGTGCTCTGTGCTGTGGCTGCCCATCCCTGGAAGGGCTCAGGGTCAGGCTGGATTTTTGAGCCATCTGCTCTGGTGGAAGGTGCCCATGGACAGGGGGTGGAACTTGATGGTCTGTAAGGTCCCTTCCCAAACTATTCTGTGAAAAGGGTGCTTTGACTTCTCAGGTATCTGAACCCTTTTGTGTCTATGGGGACAGATTTAGGCTGTGTCCCCTGGAATTCCTGCATGTGTCTGTGCAGCCTTCAGTGTAAAGGAAGATTCTGAGTTGCTCAGTTCCTCCTGGCCAGGAAATCTGGCTGTGCTCTGTCACTTGTGGGATTTGTATGTCAAACAAGATGAATCTGGATTGCTTTATGCTTAGGTCACTGGCTGGTCTGGATTTCTCCACTGGATTTTATTTGTTGAGAGTTCTAAGATCTTGATTTTGTTGCTTTTTCCCCAGGCAGAATTATGACACCTGAGTGAAGTGTTGGTGTATATTTGAGTCTAGATCTAAATCTCTGCTTCACTTGTCTGGAATCTGAGCAAGTCAACTGAAGGGAGGGTCTGTCTTGCTCATAAAATAATTGTTTTTGACTGCTTAACCCTTGATATGAACAATTTTATTGCCATGTTTAACCAAAGTTTAGTGCCACAAGGTGTTCCATACTGGTAATCCAGCTCTGCAGTACTCTTACATGGACAGTCTGGCTTATTGGCTTGACATGACTCAATTATTCAGAAAATTAGATGGAGGGAAATTAATGGCAATTAAAAGGGATAAAATTACTTGGAAATTTTATTCTAGAGTATTGTGCAGATTAAATGAGCTCCCACAAGAAGATTTAAGTACTGTAGGTTCTGGCATTAATACCAAGTGGACTGTAATGGAAACTTGCTAACCAAAACAATAAAGATAAAGGGAAAAATATATGGATTTAAATTATACACTGAAAATTCTGAAATTCTTCTTAGTGTGTCTTGGAACTCATTGCAAATTTATAGACTTTGACATTTATTTATTAACAAAATGAGATTTAACATATGGGGACTACTTGAATTATTATTGGTAGTCCTTCACAACAGCAGTGATAACCCTGATGAATCTGATGATTTTGTTCAAGCCTGATGTTACAAAACATTATAAGAACTTACTTTTTGCTGGCTCTATTTAAGGCTGAAAAAAATCATTTTTGTTCCTCCTTTTAGGGGCACAAGAAGTTCTCATTGATCCAGGTACATTATTTTCCTGCATGTTTCCAAAGTATTTTCTTGTATTACTTGATGTGTTTTGCAATTGTATATATGGTTATTGCCACTTGCCAAAACTAGCAGTGATCCCTGATGCTTCAGTTTTTGGCTCTAAATCTTGAGAAATTATAGAGACTGAAAGGTAACTGGCACAAAATAAATGCTGTAATTCTGTGATTGTGTCTCAATAAATTCTAATCAATAAGATTTCTTTCCATGAGTAGTGAAGATTTTAAAATATTTTTGAAGTGACCAACCTGAATAATCATATGTGATTCTTTAGAGTCATGGTGCTCCCTCAGTCATCATGAACAAACATCTTGCACTTCCATAAAAATAATCCTAATCTCCAGATGTGCTTGGTCTGATTCATTAAGGTTAATAAACATATTAAAAAAGTTGCCTTAGCATTTAAGTATGTAAAGAAACATTCTTTCTGCTCCCTGAGTAAATTCAGAAATACCTTTCACAATAGTTTTTAACTGTCTATTGACAGTTAGGGCCAGCTCTGAAACACAGAGATTTTTTTGCCATTTTTGCAGAGAAACCTCTTGGAGAAATCAATTAATGTATAATCCTAAATAAATTACAGTATAATGCTGCAGATTAAATAATATGTAAGAAGGTATTGAGCCTTGCCAAGCCTTTGATATGTTTCCACTTTTATGATGGTAACTCCAATAAAATCAAATTCTAAAAACAGAATTTTCATGTTCTTTCTAATACGCCAGATTTCCTTGGCTTCTATTTCAAATTCTTATCCCTTATATAGACCCTTTCTGTCTCTTGCCTTCTTTTTTATATTAGAAAACAATTTTCTTACGGTTTTGTCTGAGCCTTTTTTTTACCCTAAGGTGTGCTTTAGAAACACTGTTTTAAAGTAGAAGGAATAGTTCAAAGATTAAAACTGTCTATTGAGATGTGGCCATAAAATAATTCTAGCAATCTGCATTTTATTCATAGTCTAAACATTCAGATAAAGGCTAAAAATCCTGAATATATTTTATTTTTTACAAAGTGAAAGGTTATTTCCTTTCTTTCTAGGTAGGGCAAGCGTACCCTGTGTATTCTGTGTCAAACCTACAGCATACCCTAGCTTGCTTTTTAGATATTTAGCATTTGCCAAGAGTCCCTGTGCTCATTTCTGACCCTGTTGTGTTCCAGGTGCTCTTACTTCCAATGGGATCAATGCAGATACCAGTGCTGAGATAGGACGTGCCAAGAACTGCCTGAGTCCTGAAGACATCATAGAAAAATATAAAGAAGCCATTTCTTACTATGGCAAGGTAATCCTGGTGATTTATAAATGAACACTTTAAATTCTTTTCAACCATGAACTGCTGAGGCTTTGGTTTTGGGGGATCTTGTAAAGCATGGCAGTGAGGTTTGTAAAACAGCTTCCAGCTCTGCTGGAGCACTTTTTAGGTTTTTGTGCAAATGCTCAGAGCCTGAGATGGAAAAGGAACTTAATGTCTGCAGTCATATTAAGAAAAGAAAAAGAATTGTTTTTTGCTGTGAAAATAGTGGCTCAGTGTCCACATCAACACTAAAGAGAAGTTTGATTGTATTGCAGGGGAGTTATTTAATCACTTTTTAATTTCAGGTATTTTTCTTGTTTGATAATGTATCTTTAGACCAAGCTTATAAATATTTATTACAGGCATTTTCATGTCCATGTTAAAGGGAGACTCTCCAAGTGAAACAATTTCAATTGTGTGCATGAGTTAATTTATGATCAGGAGCAATGAAAGGTGATAATTCTGGGCACAGTGTCAGATAAATTAGAATCCATCAGTAAAACAACAACTGTCAAGGATGCATTCAGCTTTTTAATGCTACCTTAAGGGTACATTGCTCATCTTGAAAGGGTGTGATGTCTCTAGGAGTATAAAATTATTGGACTTAGTTGGGCTTAAGGCAGGATATTTATATTTTGATTATTTATAATATGCACTGTGCTCTCAGCAAGTAATAACTGTGCTTCACTGCAGCTTCACTTGAAATAACAAAGAGATTTGTGTCAGGACTGATTTATAACCCTGCAAGACAAGCACAGTTACCTCCTGTCTGTTCCAGACCTACAGAGTAACTCCTTGCTCTCATGCTGAGGAAGCAGCACTTTCTGCAGACTTTTTATGTTCTCATTCAACTGAAAAAACTTTTGTAGCAGCTTCTAAAATAGATTCAATCTCCACTGATTTGCTTTTGCTAATAAAAATGCACAAGGAGGAATGTGTGACAGCTTTGCTGGTGTAAATCTTGCATTTTTTTATTGAGCTTTCTTTCTCCCATTGGTTTTCAAATATAAATACCTGAAGAGAGCTCAACTTCAGCAGAAGGTGGGCCAAATCAAATACCCAGTATTAGTGTTGTTTGAGGAAATCACCAGATCAAAATTGCCTGTTTGTTATGTGAGCAGTAACAGTTCAATGCACATCTGCATTGTCTCCTTAGCTTCCTTAAGCAAGCTAAATCACCAAACAGTCATTTACAGCAAATGTTTTGCAAACAAATATTGGAACAGCCAGATTGGTTTCTAATCCTCTCATCAGGAATATTGTTGTAACTAAAGAGAAAATGGATGCAGCAATAAAAATATTTGCATTGTAAAGGTAGAATTTATTTGCAGACACAGCACCCTCAACCAACCATTTATATGAGGTTATCTCAAATTGTTCCAATATTCCCAGCTTTTCTCCTCACCTAAACTCTCAAAATGAGAGCAGTGAGTGAAGAGGCTGAAAGCAGCTGTTTTACACAATAATATTTTAGATGACACCTTAACTTTCACTTGGGCACATGTTGATAATTGAACAGTGCAGTCATTAGCATTAAGGAATTGCTGGGTTTGGAGGATGTGACAGCTGATTTATGTGCTGAGCAGAAATGCTCATAAAATCTAACAGGTGCAATACTTCAGTATTATTTTAATTTTCTCCCTCTCCAAGTACAAGAATGCTGGGGTGATTGAACTGGAAGCTTGTGTGAAGGCTGTGAGAGTCCTGGCAATGCAGAAGAGGAGCATGGAAGCCTCTGAGTTTCTGCAGAACGCAGTTTACATCAACCTTCGGCAGGTCAGTTGCAAAGTCCAGGTTTTTTTCTCTTGTCAATTGACAGAATCTCCTCAAAGTTACTTAGATTCAGGACACTCCAGTTTATTTTCTGTACCATTGCCTTTCTTCTGACAAAAGCTTGACTTCTGGGGATTTTCACATCTGTGAGTCTGGGTTACAAGGTATTGAGAGTTCATCTAAAAACATGAGGACTTAGTTTGAGATTAAACTCTGTTGCTTCTTCTCCCTTGTGAAGGTAAAAAAAAAATCCCATTGTTGTTCTCTTGTGATGCTGTACTAGGGAAAAACACCTGCCTGGGACTGCTCTGCAGTGGATTTTTAAAATTTTCTTGATTGCATCTCATTCAATGGAACTGAGCAAATCAGGAATGGCCTGTTGCAGAGTGAGCTGAAGGGTCTGATTAGTGTTCTTAATCAACTGAATTTTTGTTGTGTAGTGCAAAGTCTTAATTAAGCCAAATCAGAAAGGAATTCAGGGGGGAAATCAGTGTTTGGAGCTGTGTGGAAAGTGCTCAGTATCACCACAAAAACAACATTAACACTTGAGCAGTGTCTCAAGCTTGGTGTCACTGCTCACAGAGAGAAAGGATTAATAAAAAGGTGTTAGGTTTCATAATGATTTTTGGTTTTTTCTCATTACATCTTGGTAAGATGAGCAGTTTCAATCCACACCATTGACCTTATTAGGCCCAGACAGGGACAGCAGATTTATGAGGGAGGTAGAATACTTTCTTTCATTTGCTAAGAACCCTTTCTCTGGAATAAATTTTCTAACAAAGCATTAATGAGACAATAATTAATTGATAAGCTGTCATAAAAAACATCAGTCTTGTTAGAGTGTGCCTTAATTGCCACAATCCTTGTAGTGCTAAAGGCCCTCTCTTTAATTCTGTAACCTGTTTTTTTGCTGGCAGTTCTTTGTTGTTCACCCATCCTCTTGTTCTGGAGCTGTTATTCTTGCTGCCTGCAAACTCCAACATTGTTGTTGTTTCTTTTTCTGGAAGCAGTTAGTGCCATTAAGAGAATACCCAGTTCTCCCTGACACCACTGACATTGCAACTTTCACTTCCCATCAGAGGGAACCTGTAAGACCCAGCATCCTGGTTTGAAGGAAGGGTGTCTGACAAGAAAAGCGGGAACCTCCCTTGGAATAGAAAATGTGACCTCCTCCTTCTCTCCAAATAACTCTGAAAATCTGGGGTTTTAAGGCAAAGACCTGGGAAAAGGAATCACAGTTCTTCACTGGTGTGTGTACCCTCACCCCCTGGCCAAAATCTCTTTGGTATTTTTGCCCTTCCTAAAGAGAAAACCCCCAGGTGAGAGAGGAGCCAGCTGCACCCTTCCCCACCTTGGCCATTTTTTTGGTCACTGTTAAGTACTGGTTCTTGTTGTCTCTTACCAACAGATGGGGCAAAATTCCATGAGAGAAAGAACCAAAAGGAGAAATCCTAACCCCCAACACCCAGTGAATGGCAAAGTACTTGCCACTTCAAGAGTTGATATTTATTGCCTAATAATACACAAACACAAAGCTTGGCAACATGAAAAACAGACCCTGATCTAAGCAGTGAACCTGCAACAAAACCAGTTCAGACTGGGATCTCTGCAGGGCTGGGAGCAGAGATTGTGTTGGCATTACTGTGTGAAATAATGTAGGATAATCCTTCCAGGGCTTTTCAGGGCTGGGAAATGTGTTTTCCATAAAGAGAGGTATGGCTGGGAATTGCATTTACAGCTTTTTAAGATTTAATGTATGAAGCATGTAAACAAATTAGAGTTGTATTTATAATTTGGACTAACTCACGAGGAAGAGTCATCCTGGGATAGCTGAGGGAATAAACTGTAGGACAGTGCTTTTCATTTGTAGGTAAACAGAACATCAGCACAACCAATATTCTGCAGCAGAAAAACACCTCACAGGTTAAAGTGTAAGACTTGTTCCTATCCATAAATTTAATTTCATGCTCAGTCTAGTAATATCATGTAATTGGTATTTTCTGATGAGCTGCAGGGTAACAAGACTTAACTTTGCATCCAGTTATGAGGAATAAATTGTAAAATATAATTACAGAGAAAGTGAGATTATAAAATTTTAATGTAGTAAGGAATAATTAAAAAATAAATAAAAAGCTGCATTATTTGAAAGCCTGGCTTGAAACAAACTTGAGGAAAAACTCTATTACCTGAAGAGTGACCTACAGTCTTTCCAGATGCAGTTGTAGCTTTGTCTGGTAGAGCAGTCAAATAAAAATTAACCAGGTGGAAATAATGCTGTGCTTCAGGTGGTGCCTGATTTGCAGCCACTTTACAGGCATTAAGCTTTTATAGATTTGTGAGGTCAGGAAAGGTGTTTGTAGGTGCTTCACCAATGGCCTGCAGAATGCCTGCTGCAATCTTCCCAGAATTAATTACTTGGAGTATCTGGGTGAGTTTTTTCTCATTTTTTTCTTCTTTTAAATTCCTGGATGGTAACACATAACTGTTTGTGCTTAGGAAAATGCAGTTTTGCTGTCTTTGTGGTGGTGCAAATAAGGTTTTCTGCAGCTGAGGAAAATACTTGATTAACACTGGGGATAACCATTAAGCAACAAGTTATGTAACAGTGCTAAAAACTTAGATATGATGAAAATAAAACTTTTTGGGAATCTACTGCCTCTCATAGTAATTCCAATTATTAGTGAGGGCTTCTGTCTACCTAAAGAGCATTGCCCCGTCTTTTATCATCTTAAAGAATTAGTGAACATTGTCAGTATTTGTATGTAAGGAATAGCTTCTGATAGGGTTTTTAAAGCTTTTTTTGCTTTATTTCCTGATCATGTCCTTGTGCCCTTTTCAACTTTGTTGCCATATTTTTCATTGCTCTAACCTGTTAAAAGTGGCATAAATAGGTGACTTCAGTATGATACCTTGTGTTCTTTCTGAGTGATTGCTTTTGGGAACTATGCTAACTTCTCCAAATTATTTCCTGTGTTTTCCTTTTGTGATTTTTGTTTTTTTCCAGCTGCACTGGTTTCTGAAAGTTTTCACCCTGGTGCAATTACCTTTTTTCCCAACTCATGATATACAGGGCTTGGTCTTAGGGATGGGTGGTATTTTTGTGTCAGACACTGTCTTGTGTTGTCATTTCTTAAAAAATAGGAATTTCAGCTTCAAAAATTGTCTGAAACTCTCTTAAATGCTTTGCTACTCTGTGTGTTTCTTCATAGCCTGAAGAAAAAAATTTGAACTGTCAGATAAGGTTGTTGTGCCCTCTGATAACTCCTCTTTGATGTGTCTCATATCCCTGTGTCCAAAATTAGAAATTACTTTTGAGAACAGACTGCTTTTTGTAATTATATCAGGATTTGAGTAGCTGAAAGACATTTTGAAGCTCTGCTTACAAGACCTAATCCTTTCTTCAAAAAAACCAGCCAGTGTGGTGAGCAGCTTCCCTCTGACTGTCCAAGCCTTTGAGTGCCTGAAGTTAAGCAGACTGATTGATACTTCCAGTTTTGAAGAATGAGTTGCTGTTTCTGTCCTTTAGGGCTATATTTGGGTGAAGTTTGTCACTTGAAACACTTTGCAAAACGTGTTGGCAGCTTTAGAGTAATTTCAAGTACGTTTTATTGCTTTTGATTGTGCCAGGTCCTGTGCACTAGGTGTCAGCATTGCTCTGCCTGCTGGTTCCTGGGACACAGAGCAGGAATCATCCACAGTTTCTGTGGCAGTCTCTTCATGGCTGGCTGACTCCAAAGCAAGATTATCATTCAGGCCAGAGGCAAAAGGAATTAAGTTACCTGGGACTTAGGCCAATACACTGATAAGCTAAAGGAGCACATGGTGGTAGTTTCTTATCAAGTTTCAGCTTTAAGCCTAACAGGACTTTAACTAAATTTCACCTCGCTTGTTGGCAGTGTGCAACTGTATCATGGAATTGTTTAGGTTGGAATAGAGCTCAAGACCAACCATTAACTCAACACTGGCAAGCCCAACACTAAACCATGTCCCCAAGTGTCACAGCTACACATCTTTTAAAGCCCTTCAGTCATGGTGACTCCACCATGTCCCTGGGCAGTTCCAATACTTGACTCAGTGAAGAAATCTATGTCTTTCCATGACATTTTGCTACTTTAACATTATTTTTTACCTTGTTGGGAAAAGCTCCCCTTGAATTCACTGCTGCCCTCCAAAACTTGCTCATGGTGAGGCCCTGGCACAGGTTTACCAGAGAAGCTGTGGATGCCCCATCCCTGGGAGTGTTCAAGGCCAGCTTGGATGAGGCTTGGAGCCAGCTGGTATAGAAAAAGACATTCCTGCCCATAGCAGGCAGTTGGAACAAGATGATGTTTAAGGTCCCTTCCAACCCAAACCATTTCATGATTCTGTGATTCAATCTCACGGTGTATAAATCACAGTGCGGTTTCACGGAATGAAAAATTTGCGGTTTACAAGATTACAGACATAAAAATCCAGACAGTAGTTTCTTGCCTTCATAGCTTGAGATTTCAAGATTAGATTTAATCTTCAAGGGATGAAAATCTTAGTGAATCAATAAATCTTGGAAGTGCTATATTTTTGCACTCCTTTCATTCACACCAATATCATGTTAAGTATCTTCCATAAAATGTGGAGCTGTTTAGCTGTTACTGACTGTTTTGACTGTTTACTTGTTAGTACCACTTACAAATAAAGTTGAAGCTGCAGAACTTCATCTTTGCAGTTTTTGTTAACAGTTGAACCAAGCTTAACTTTCCCTGGCTGCAGAAGCTGTCACGCCTGGCTATGTGCAAATCCCTGCCCTTCTGCAGCGCCAATGTCTGCTACTCCTGTTTGTTTTTTAAAACTCAGCACTTGAAATCTGATTAAAAACCATCCCTTTCCTCCTTTCCCTTCCAACTGCAGCTCTCGGAAGAGGAGAAGATCCAGCGTTACAGCATCCTGTCGGAGCTGTACGAGCGCATCGGCTTCCACCGCAAATCGGCGTTTTTCAAGCGCATCGCGGCCATGCAGTGCGCGGCGCCCAGCATCCCCGAGCCCGGCTGGAGGGCCTGCTACAAACTGCTGCTGGAGACCCTGCCTGGCTACAGCCTCTCCCTGGACCCTCAGGACTTCAGCAAAGGTCAGTGGGATTGCCACTTAGCTGGCTTTCCATAGTAATTCCCTTGAGAGATTTCATCCTGGACCTACGTTGTTTGGGAATCTGAAACTATGGCAGCAGATAAAGCAGTTGTTTAACACTGTGCCTTCACTTTCTCTTAATGTTGTTCCAATAATTTCAAATTTCTGCAAGTCACTGCTGAATGTGTTGTTGTGGTTCCCTGGTTGCAGGAAGTAATTATGTGTTATTTATGAAAACTTAGTTTCTTATGTTTTTCAAAAAAACATTATTATCTTGGTTTTGATAATATGCTTCTCAATACATGAAAAGGTCATCTATTATCCTGGATTACTTTAACTGAAAAAGTGCCTTCAGTTGTTCCATCAGAAATTGTATTTCTTTTGGTTTTGTGGCTGTTTGATCTTACAAGAAAAGAGTAAAAATCCTTTTACATATTTGTGTATATAGATACAGATAATGTAATTAATAGGGTCAAATATGTCACATTTTCCCACAAATGAGATCAGAGACAGATAAATTGCTGCTTGGCAGCTCCTTTTGAGTAAACCTTTCCAACACCTTGCATTATGTTATAGAGCAGCAGTTTTGGGGACCATTTCCTAAATGTTTCAGCTGCAGGAGAGGAGCAGAAAGTGATGGGCTGAGCTGTATTTGTGGATGGTTGATGTTGGGTTTTTTAAAACTGCTGTGATTTGGCAGTCAAATTATATGTGAGAGGAGGTAGCAAATGCCAAGTGGACTCAGTGGAAAGATGCTAAGAATCTAGGAAGATGGAATGTGCTGGGAAAAATATGCTGTGACCTGGGACAGGACTGTGTTGGGAGAAGAAGTTATAGAAGTTCTCCAAGAAATTATAAATAAAAAAGCAATGAAAAGACATGACTGGTATTTATCTTTCATTTCTCCCTTACCTTCATGATGCACTGAAGTGAGTTGTCTCATTTTATATCCCTGAAATGGCTCTTTTAGAGACATATGGAAAGATCACTGCAAACTCTAAGATAGAAATGACATTTCACACATGAAAAATAATGAGACTCTCAAAATATAAACTCTCAAGGTTTGGTTGCAGTAAATATTCCTAAAACAGTTTGCCAAATGCTGATGGGTGATATTACAAGGAAGGCTGTTGAAGTTTATGAAGTACTGAACATCTCGAAATATCTGTTATTTAAAAATTATTGCTGTTGCTTACTACTAAAAGCAGGTTAAGCTTTATGAAGAGTGCTGCATATTATGGTTCTGAAAGGAAGGTTATGTTAAGATCATCTATTTATTCTTCCCATAGATACTCTACAAATATGAAGTAATTCATAGCCTGAAACTTAAAGGCTGAAAATCAGGATATGTGCCTTGTGTTCTAAAGTTTTATTGCTTTTATTGCCTGGGAAAGCATTTAGAAAAAGATATCTCTTGCTTGATCTTTAAAGAGAGTTAAGAATTACTGGGTAGTTTTTTTTCTTTACAAGGGCGTGGAGTGACAAGACAAGGGGAAATGGCTTCAAGGTTTAAATGGATATTAGGAAGAAATTCTTTACTGTGAGGGTGCTGAGGCCCTGGTGCAGGTCGCCCAGAGAAGCTGTGGCTGCCCCACCCCTGGAGGTGTCCAAGGCCACGTTGGATGGGGCTTTAAGCCACCTGGTCCACGGGAAGGTGTTGGAAATAGATGATCTTTAAGGTCCTTTCCAATCCAAACCATTTTGTGATTCTATTATTTCAATTTCTGTATGAAATTTTTTGTGCATTGTCCAGAGAATTAAAAAAAAAACTTTATATGTTTTGTGCATAATTTTTGTTTTTGGGAAGTGTTAAGTTCATCTTCAGAATTTTAACTGTATATTTATCAGTGAATAGACAAGCATATAAAATAAAACTTGATTTCATATTTAGATATTCAAGCAAATAGAACAATCCTATTTTTTGTGTTGAGTACAAGGGTTGGATTTTTTAACAGCCATTGGGTGATTGGTATGAGTGCCATAAAATTACAGCTTAGCATGTGAAGAAAGCCAAAACCAAGGTGTTAGTGATGATTTCCAAGTTTACAATACAGTAAATAGAATGATTTATGATGATCTATTGCCTGCTTTTTCCCCAGGAACTCACAGGGGATGGGCTGCAGTGCAGATGCGCCTGCTCCATGAGCTGGTCTATGCCTCCAGGAGGATGGGCAACCCTGCCCTGTGTGTCAGGCACCTCTCCTTCCTGCTCCAGACCATGCTGGATTTCCTTTCTGACCAAGGTAGGGCTTTTAATAAAGCAGAGATTTGCACTTTCTTCTGATCCATAATCAAATAATGTGACTCTCTTTTGAAATACAATTAATTTGGAGAGCAGGCAAGTTGTGGAGTTCTGTATATGCCTGAGTGGGTTGTTGATGGTAGTCAGTCAACAGAATTGAAATTAGATGACCTTTAAGGTTCTTTCCAACCCAAACCATTCTGTGTTTCTAACTTTTAGAAGCTGAATGTGATGGACCTGAGTTAAGCAGTGTTTAACTGGGACAGTGGCCTTAAGTTCCTCTACATTCTGCAGTTTATTTATTTATTTTTTTAAATTCAGCAATATATTTAACAGGATTTGATTTGTCAAAGGTTGACCATGCAATTAATGTCTGTGGATGATTTTCAGCAATGGGAATGATGTGTGTGAGGACCCTTCTGTGCGGTAGGACCATGTAACATTTACAGAATCACCTGAAAAAGCCAAAAGTGACAACTGTTATTTTGTATTATGTTTCTTAGGAAAAAAATATTCTGTAGTGACTTTTTTATCACCCAGCTTAATGAGATCAATGATCTTAATGAGTACTAAATGATTTTAAAATTTGGTTTTGCTTCTCAGGAAGCCAGGTAAAAAATGCATTTTTTCCCAGTTATTCCCTTGTTTACAATAATGAGGATGGAAGTGAAAAAGTATAGGTTGGCTTTTTTTTTTTTCTTTTCTCCTTTAGTTGTGGCCAAATGTCCCCCCTTAGTGACTCCTGCAGCAAAGAACTTTGTTGGCAAATTTTAGGTATTTGCCTGCTTTATTCCCTCTGTTTAGTGGCTCAAATCAATGCTGGAGGAAGGAGAGGAACTGATAAACTGGAATAAATTTGCTTTCTACCTGTAGAACTTATTTGCTGTCAAAAGGTCCTTGGATTTTCCAGGACTTACAGTGGAGCTTTGTTGATTTATTTATGGAAAGTTGTGCTAAAGACAAGTTTTTAAAGTCTTCCACTCTGCATTTCCACTTGTGATATTGGTAATCCCTAATCCTAAGAAGGTTTGAACTCCCAAAGACAAGAATCTTCTGTGTTCTTTGCCTTCAGACATTGTGTGTCTGAGTAAAGCTGCCAGTGTCCTAAGGCCTAGGATACCTGTGATGCTTAGTGCCTTTGAAAAAATCAAACTAAATATTCTCCCATATGTTTCAAACACAGTTGAATTTTTTTTTTCCCCTTCTCTCCTGAATGCATCCAAAATATAACTTGCTGTTGGGTTTGGTGTCTTTTATTGATAAGAAATGCCAGAAGTGTATTTCTGACCTGTAGTTTTTTGGTAACTCTGCTGAGATTGATATTGTGTGACCATAGAATCATTAAGGTTGCAAAAGGCCTCCAAGATCATAAAGTCCAACTTGATGTTGTGCAAGAGTCCATTTAGCATAGAAAATTATTTTAAATGTATAGTTCTTATAAAAGTATTGGAATATTAGGGAAAAATAAACCAACAAACCTTCAATCCTGAATTGTAGTAAGGGACAAAAGCAAGAGAATTGAAGCAGAGGATTAGACTGCTGTTTTACTAACTGTGAACTGTTCCCTTATAAACTGGCAAAAAGGTGTCATTAGAGTTCTCTGATGACACATGACTGAAATTTCCAGGTTTTGTTAATTAATTGAAGGTTTAATTAGAAAACAGAAATAATGCAGTGGTGTTGGAGTTCAAGAGTGCTCAGACTTTACTTTTTTCTATGCTGCATAGAAAGTCACCAGTTCCTATGGGTGGAGAAAAACTCACTCTTTTGGAAAGTCAGTTTTCACTTGAATGTGTTCTTTCCTTCATATTTTTAAAGCTTGTTACTGATTATCTGCTAAATCCTTCTATTTAAAGTTTGGGTAGTTTGCAGATCATTTTTAAAATTAGAATAAATAGAAGTGAAAACTCCTAAGCTGAGAGGAAGTTACCAGCTAAACATTTGGCTCTGGAACTTGACCTTCTAACCCTTTTTCTCTCAGAATTTGCTGCCTCTAGACACAGAAAAGGAACATTTTCTCATTTTTAAATTTAATTCTGTTCATTTACTAGTTCAGTTGAAGCTGAGATACTGATTTATTCTCCAATTAGAAGCTCAGCTGCTGAGATTTATTTGTTCCAATGAAATCTAGATCTATTAATTAGAAACTCTTGCTTCTATTAATGGAACACAAATGCATAGTCAAAAGTGGTTTGTGTTTAAAACAAAATTTAATGTTTGAATTGAATCATGCATTTTAAAATACAGCTTGTCTATGTTTACTTGAATTTACTTGAATCTCTAACCATGCAGCCTGGCAAATCTAAATAAAGAATATCATCAAGTAAATGGGAGATGTCAGTCACTATTTTAACAACATGGAAACTAAAAGTTTGATTTTAAATTAAGCTATTTAGTTGCATAAATATGTAAAATGCAGTCTTCTGCAAAGCAAAAAGAGGTACTAAAATCTGCGTAAAACCTCTAATCTCAAGCTATTATGTTTTAATGGTAACAAGCCCTTAAGAATCACTTTCTTTAAACAAGAATTAAAATGTGCAGTTGCAAAGTTGCTTGGAATTGAACCTATCTTTTGCATAATGCTTTTTGCAACAAAACTGTGTGTACAGCTCAGTGAATTTGAATTGAGTAATGTCAGATATTTGGAAAAAAAATGCCAATTATTTTACTGTGGCTCTTCACTGATATTATTAATACAACTTAAATGGCTTGTGTCTTGCATTGAGTGCAAATAATTCTGTGTTGGCTCATCTGTTAGGGCCTCTCTAAACACAGAATTATATGGAAACAGCTACTAAGGAAATGTGACCACCCACCAGGCAGGCTGTGGTGAATGAATACAGAGTTGGGAATGTTTCTCCATTGCCTCTTGAAGATTTGAGGTTTGAAAGTGAAAGCTTTGAGCTGCTTTCTTTTGGAAAATGAGGCACCTTTTTGCAGACCATTGCAACCATTGCAAACAGATCAACCTTGGTGTTGATCTGTTAGGGAAGGGAGGAATAAACTTTGGGAACATCAGGTGAACTTGGCCTGGGTACCAAGGAGCAGCCAGTGGATTTTAGGGGAGCAGAGATGGAGGTCACCAGTGATGTGCTGTTCTAGGAGGTGGATGTGAGGTTGCCACTCACAAAATCCTCTCTAAGCAAGTGCCCAAAAATCTGTGAGGTCTACAAGGTACTGGAGTCTTTGCTGTCCTGGCTGCTCCACCCTGCTGGTGCTGCTGCCCTGGCTCTGCTCCCTGGCTGGGCAGCTCTGGGAGGGACCCTGGGGAATTCCCCATGGCAGGGAGATCTCCCATGGCACTGTGTGAGCAGTGCTGGGGCCATGCTGGGGTAACCCTTTCCTGTGCTTCTCACCATCATTGCTGGCATTCTCCTCCTTTCCTGTTTTCTCCTTCTTTCCTCCTTTATGAAGAAATGAAGTTGAGTTGTCACTTTGGATCCCAACATTTGTTGTGTTTCTTTTTGGGTATGTTCAGAACCTAATTCCTTCCTGCATTTGTGGATCAAGGCAAAACTTGTCTCTCTTCAGCTGGAGCAGATCAGAACAGTCCCTCACCCCTGCAAGTTCATGTTCTTTCAGACATTCAGCAGGTTTCCAGGATTTCAGGATTCCTGCTGTTTGCCTCTGCTGGCAGGGATCTCCATGATGTGCTGAGGTGACATTTTCTCACCCACCATGTATAGCATGGGATGGAACTAGGAGTAAGAGTATTCCATTCTTTGTTTTGTGGGCTAATTCCTTAAAGATCCTCAAGGTTCATCTATTTTGTTGTTTGGGAAATGTTTATTAGTGTAGCTCTGCCAAGATCTTCCTGTCCCATGGTTATTGTTGCTGCACTTGAGTTCTTTCCAGTCTTCTGGTGAGGTGACAGCCTTCCCATCTGAGCTCCCAACTGCTCTGTCATGTACTCAATGAATTAAACTATTGACTCTGTGATGATCTGCATTAAACATGCAGAAGTAATTTTTCATCTTTTGACCAGGGCTTTGGATGTCTTTGTTCTTGAGAGAACTTCCCAGAACATCCTGGTGTGTCTGTCCTTCCTCTGTGTGGTTGTTTCTTGAATCATGTTTCTTAAAGATGTTTATTATCAGCCTGGACCGAGATCATTGTACCTAGTGAAGAATTTCTGCCACAATTTCTGCTGAATGCTGTTTCAGTTTCCCTCATCCTGTAGATGTAGATGAGTTGGGATGGACTTGCCAGTGTTGGCTGGGAAGGCCACCTTGATGCCTTGACAGCTTGGACTGGTTGGTAGCTGAGGGTGTCCACACCATTAATGTGAGGGTCTCCACACCATTCCATAATTCTGGAACATTCTCCTTTCAAGCCTGCTGTGTTCAGGTGAAATATCAGCTGGGCAGGGTGAGGTTGTGCCCTCTGCAAAGAAGTGATGAGCTTGATCTAAGAAAGAAACCCCAAACCTTGTTCATCTTCAGGAATTATGGCTAAGCCTGGACTGAGTAATTTGGTGATGTCAGACGTGGTGTCTTACAACTCTTAAAATATGTCTTTCCATCTTGCATGTTGGAAGAGGAAATTATGCAGTATTTTAGACATTTTTATTTATAGAACAGATTGCATATGCATTCCCTCATGTCATTTAAATTTCAAATTGCTATGTGGAAGTATGGAAAATAAGGAAGAATATTAAGCTGGGCTCCTGAAAATTGACAGCTAGGCCACAAGGGAATGTGGGAATGACTTTAACCCTTTGTAGCCCTCCTGCCAAGCAGCAATAGGGACCAGACTTGGTTTCTGAGGATCTTAAAATTGTAATGTTGTCCTGAATTTTCCTCCAAACCTGGGAAAATGAAGTGAAGCTGCACAGGAATTTGGTGGGTTCTACCTCCCTACAGAGATTGGGGTAAATGAATTTCACTGGAGCAGGGGATAGGAATAACCTGTGAGCCTATAAATAACTTTTGGGCATGGAACAATTTAAAGTGGCTTTTTTTTTTTGAGGGACTGCTGAAGCAACTTGTCACTCTGTTCACC